GAATATCGGAGCTGATACAGTTCTTGATGTTTCCCTCCGTCTCGGTAAGTCAACAGCAGCCGCTGATCCCATATACGAACTCGTCTCTCGCTCACAAGTTCTTTCCGAATTGCGCGCGTTCTCAACAGCTTCTACCGTAGTAGATATGGTTTATGCTAACCACGCGCTTGGAACCAGCGATCATAGATATCTACGGGATCTTCCCCTCCAGTCGGAAGCACCTCGCTCTTTCATCGTCCAAGGACGACGCGTCACCCTTACGGAAGATCAAAAAGACGCAGTGCGCGTAGGTAGCGGTCGGTTACCCATCGTAGCGATTCAGGCAGCATACGGCACAGGTAAAACTCTAGTTGGTGCGCTTATAGCTGCTCTGTCCTCGCAGACACCAGACACAACAGTTATAGTCACAACATCGACAAACGCAGCGGTCGCGCAATTCGCCGAAACGTTACTCTCCTTAGGTGACTTCCCTAACCTTAACGTCGTACGTCATATTTCCGATACAGCTGCTTCCAGTAATTTAACACCTACGGCAGTCGATCTCAATAAGGTTCTCAAAGGCTTAGGAGCCGCATTTGGCCACTTGCTTGACGCCGAAGATCGCGAAGCATGCCAGCGGTTCACTCAATGTCGCCAATTACTCGAGGACTATCTCGAAAACCCTGATCGCGTACCGGAAATGTCCGACGACGACAAAGAAGAGTACGAGATCGCCGAGCAGTTCGTTTCCCAAACTATAAAGCGAATGGTGCGCATCCTATTCACGGTGAACCCCCCTTCAGTGCTCTGCCTCACCACCTCATCCCTACTTAACTCCACTGGTAGCGGAGGCATCTTCTCCCAGTATGTTACTAACTTCAAGGTCATTATTGGTGATGAGGCCTCTCAGATACCAGAACCAGCACTGCTCACCATCGCCGCTCGCTTACAGGGCGCACGGCACGTGTACATTGGTGACGTTCACCAGCTCGCGCCTCATGCCAAGTGTCCCCGGGAGTCCACCTCCGTTTTACACGGTGCTCGAAGTGTTATGAGCCTCCTCTTACAAGCTCTGGCAGTCCCCGTGGCCCCCTTAATTACCACGTTCCGTTCGCATCTGGCACTCATTGATTTACCTACCGTATAGCGTACAATGGTGCTTTAGTGAGCGGTACCCCAGCATCGGCCCGGCGTCTGCTATTTTCACTTTTGCGCTTCCCTTCGCCTGACGTTCCCTTCCTCTTCATAGATATGTTTGGCGAATCTATAAGGCCCCCGAAAAGTCCTTTTGGAACCCAGATGAGGCACACCTTGCGACCCATTTCATTAAGCAACTTATTGAAATTGGCGTGCAAGCTTCCCAAATATGTGTAATTACTTTTTACAGAGAACAATTCCGTCGCCTACGACCGGACCTTACGGACCTCGGCGTCGAGCTCTCGACCGTCGGTTCCGTCCAAGGACGAGAAAAAGAGGTAGTTGTCATCTTGGCCACAAAAAGCGACTTCTCTCTAGATGAAGCCGACTTCCTCGATGACTACCGACGTCTCAATGTGGCCGTTTCGCGTTGCCGCCATGGACAATTCATTTTCAGACACGCCCAAGCACTCCGCGTGGAACCGACTACTTAACTGGGCCGAGTCCATCCGCTCCGCCATCCGTATGGCCGACGTTAACCAATACATATACAGCATACACCCCGAGCCTCGCCACTGGTGAGATTCTTCCTTTTCTTAGTTCTGCCACCTCTTTCTTTTGTCAGCTTTGTTTTCTTGAAAGTCCGGGTCGGACTTTGTGTAAAGGGGGGAGGTGTAAGGGACTGTAGGGGACGTGAACATATGATGAGGATT